GTCGTAAATAACCTTAGATCTATCCAATTTTCTAAAGCGGGCACGCCCTCTATAGACTGTGAACAATTTTTTTCTCTGACTGGCCGTCAATCGACCTAGATCACTTTGATTAATTTGTCTGGACATTTTTACAAAGGCTGCATGATGCGCGCTCATTTAGGTAACCACATAACCTTTTTATTCCCTTGGCATTATCGACATATTGGTAACGTTCGTTGTTCATAGGAGGCATCCCTTGTCACTTCCGTTCCAGGACCTTAACGATCTCTGGAATCCCAGATTCCATCCTTCAGGCTGCAAATGCATATACACGGTACTGCACGTGCCTACGTGCACGTGCGGTGTACTAGTTCGCGAACACGGTTTGCTTCACAAGTATCTCCTGCAGCTCTATTAAATGTCTCCCTCTTTTGGAGCGGTGACTGTACATTATTCAAAAGCAAAAACACTGGTAAAAAGAGCGAAAGCAATTATTCCTTTTTTAATTATTTTGATTAAGCAAGTATTTAGTACCATGGTCTTCAGGAATTTTTTGGCATATTTTATTGTCTTACTTAGTGGCACCTTGTTCTTAGCTAGCAAATCATATTGATTTACCTAGGCATCTATTCAGATCTCGCTGTAGTGAAAAAAGACGCCTTATTATATACATGCCTGCGTTTATTTTGGGAAACACAATAAATTAGAAGTTTTATAAAAGTATATTTCAGGAGACTTTTGTTGTTGCTGTTGTTTTGTGTGTGAGTGTATCAATATTTTCGGTAAGTACAGTCGAGCCCTTTTCATGCCGTTACCGTAATCATAATTGCCAAGCCAAATTTTCGATATATCGTAAACATTAAGAAGGGCGCCATTTTTGCACGTTCCCGCTTTTCGTTTTTGCCAAAATTTGTCTACTTTTTTTTTTCGTTCAAGTAGCACCTCGTTAAGTAGAAGTAGACATGTTTAGAGTATGTTTTTTTAGCTTAACTTTTCAATGTACGGCTTGTATTTTCTTAGTTTCGATTTGTTGTATTACTCTTCATTTACGTGGTTTCTTTGTTTCATAGTAATAATAATAATAATAATAATAATAACCCGTTCGTTTATTTCTGGCGTTTCCTTTCGTACACTCATCATTCTCTTTATTCCACACATTTGCCATACGCTCTTTCAGTCGTAGCGATTTTGTTTACTCAACGTCGTCTTGGCTTTCTTGTTTTTGTCAGCTTACCTTCGCTATCTTGTCCATACCCCATATAAGTTCTAGTCTTTTCTCTTGCCAGGTGTCTTTCCCTCGCTATCTTTATGTCATCATCTCTTCCCTTAATTGTTAGATCATTATCGTTATCATTGCCATCAGTCATCGTCATTAATATTATCATATCGTCATTACTATGTACAGTATGTATATAAACGTTGAAGTTCAACACGTTTTTCATTCAACATCTCGCTCCTTCTTTCTTTTCCTCTGTGCTTCTATAGCGCGTGATTGTGTGTAATACATCCTCATATGTTGCGAAGTTTTGCTATATTGACTTTTTTTTGCCCGCTCTATTAACATATATGAAAAAAAAACAATTTATTTCTGGGCGATTTGCCCTGAATATTCCAGCAGAAAGTAATCTCCCTTTGTAACCCTGTATTAGATGGGACCGTACCGATTAAAGCTTTGAACTACATTACAGCCTTAGATTAGTCGAATTCGGATCCGATGCTTTTTTGGCTATAACCCTATTGGTCATCAAATGAAGTTAATGTAATCAATGTACCTCAAGTGTTTAATTTTATTGCGTTTATCGGCTCCTTTCGTGCACTCGCTCCTATATCGATTCGATCTAAATCCATGACTACACACAATACATTACAGTTAATTTATTACATCTCTTACTTACTTGTTATTCCTCAGGACCCCAACGTGAATGCTATCGTCACTATCAATTGTAATATTTAACATCCCGTTTTATCTTAAGGAAGATCCAGATAAAATGACCTAGGTCCAGGAAGACCAAAAAATATTTTACCGAGCATAATCTATTATACATCGAGTAGCCAGAGTAATCTTTGCACGACTGGACCCCCGAGACGCGTGACGCTAACATCGAACCGAGAGTAGAATAGACCAATGTAATTTGTTAGAATGCCGCGCTTTTCCACGAAGCGTTCTTGGGGAGGCGGGGGGGATCGTAAGCAAAAAATCATATGCTTTTCGTGATCTGGGTGAACGCATGTGTGTATATGTAGTAGTAACATAATCCGCCATATTTTTGCGTCGTTTTTTTTACAGACGTAAAAGGTACAGGAGAGTAAACTAAAGATCGTTGCTCATTTTGCTCACCATAAAATCGGCTCGCCCGTTATGCAGCCGAACAAGTTAATATCTGAAGCATGGTTCCAACAAATGATGAATCAACATTGATACAACGAAATAGACAGAATATATACACAACCCGATTTCCACGGGCAGACCTACTCTGTGTGTAAATAGCCGTAGTGTGTGGTCGGTCTGTGCGTCTAGATGTGCATGAGTGTACGTGTATCTGTAGCTGTGTGTATTGCATGTGTTTTATGTACGAAAAGATACCAGCTGTTGTCGTGTGCATACAATCCTGCAAATTTTATGTTTGTTTTTATTCAAATCGTTGTCGCCTCGTGTTTTCCAAGACAAAGAAACCTGGCGTCGACGTCTGCTTTTTACATTACTGTCCTAATTGATAATTGGCGCTGCGTATAGCCCTATACCAGAGTAATTCCCTTTTCATGCCCTCTTCGCATTGCGTTCTTTGAGTTTTGAGATTACAGCCGGTTGAAGACACGCACATGTTCTACCTGAATATTTTTCGCTTGTTGTTGTTAGTCCGTTGTCTGTTTGCTGCACGTCCAAAGAGCGTAACCTTAATTTCTTAATATACTTGTTATGTCTATATACATTTGCGGGCCTGAGACACGAGAACGAATCGGCCGGCAATCTCTTGCCGTATTTCTGGGGAGTCGCGTTGCAGAATGAGGTAAAAAAGAAGTTGTAGCATGACAGTTCTTATACTACCACCATTCCATAATGAACCCCCATACAAGGTCCATATTAGGCTAGGTTGTCGAGTTTCCCTGTCTCGGTCTTATGTTCTTGCGCTTCGCTCTTATCTGGCAAAGATGTTAAATGCAAAACGGGGGACGGAAGGGACGAAGGAGAGACGCATGAACATTTGCTCGTTAGTTACATGATTCATCTGTTGTTGTTGTTGTTCCGAGAGCAACTTTTTAACTGGATATAACCAGTATCCTCACATTACCCTTATCATAGTGACCATTATAATATAATACATGCGACATTTTCGGAATTTTGTCAGTAGTCTCTCATCACCGTTGCTTTATTTAATGAATTGATTAATGAAGGAAAGGGGCGGTAGGGCGATAGATCAATCGATAGTAGTAATAGTTGTCCAGAATGTTTTGTTACTGAAAGGCTTACGTAGCACATTTCCTATACACTAATACGCAGCATGTGTATATAGGGAGATTGTTGATGGTGTTGCTGTTGTTGTTGTTATTTCTTAGCAATAGCCTGCTGTCCTTGGTTTCTTCCTGCGTTGCTTTTTACTTTCTCTTTTGTCGGCTTCTGTCATATATACAGTAGGGGGGTAGTAAGAGTATATACCTTATATGGCTGGAGAGCATGAGTGTCCACAAGGGCATGCATATCACACATAGAGAGTTTAAAGGTGCGCAGCTTTTTCTCTATATATATATATATATATATATATATATACCTTCACTCATCTCGTACTCGTCTTCTTGTTTGACCCGTGCTATTTTACTTCTTGAAGCTAGCTATAAGCGCTGAGCTCGCTGTGACACACCACAGGCGTAGTTCAGTTACTAATATCCCTTTTCATAATTTATTCCATAGTAATTTAATTTCCTTTCGTTTATAGTTAAAATAAAAGTCAGTTAGAATTAGTTAATACTGTTACTATTTCTTGTTGATAACTTGTGGCTGTTCATATTTATGTTGTTGCACAATTTACATTTGCTGCCATCTTGACCTGTCTTGGCTTTTACTCTTCTCCACTATGCGACCCAGCACTAATCTATATGAATATATCAACTGGCCGGACTTGTCGTAAGCGTTTTCCCCCTTTTACCACTCGGGCTATACAGTCCTCCTACACTGATGATGTAGGCGTCATCAAGCGCTATATGCCCCCCTCTAATGGTGAGTCCCCGATCCTGGATTCCAATTTCATCGTCACAGCAACAGACGTTGTCCTCTGTTTTCCGTGGACCTCAGCCTACGCTCTTCTCTTCACTGCTTCCTCTTCTTCCGTGGTATTCTCTGCTGGACTGATTCGTTCCAATCCCGAATCTATACATACATGTATATCCAGTTCATGTCACAGAGCCCGTATTTGCTTCTTTCCTTATTCATTGTTTAATTGTTTTTGAAAAAGAAAAACACTTGCATTCAAGAATTTTTTGCCAACATTTTCTTTCTTTCTTCCATCGTATATATATCATCTCTATATCATTATATGGGTAGTTATATACAATAAACATTCGGTTGTTACATTACGATGGCTGACTGGGAATGGTCGCTCGTGACGAATACTCGAACATTCGTGAGCAACGCATAATCATCGTATAACCGTTGGGCCGAAATTTGGAGCTTGGCCTCTCGGCGAAGAACGATGAAATCAATTAACCCACGTCCCGATTCTCGTACGTCTGCATTCGATGACCTCCCGTTTGCCAATCGAGCTGGTCACTCATTGTAATTGATCTTCAAGTTATATGTATTATATTGTCATCGATCGGCTTTACTTTTTTGGTAATACCCAATACACGCCACGATTTCTCCAATATTTCCTTGTATCCCCCGCATTTCAGACTCTTATTGAGGGCAAACAGCACGTGTTGTTGTCACGGGCACGGATATATAGCCAGATGTTAATTCTTCATTTTCTCCCCCCCCCCCCTCTATATATATATATATATATATATATATTTGTCGATTGATTCGCGGGGCGTCACTTTATACGTTTCTCTCTGTGTAGTGTGCCTTCTGTGCCTAAAATCATTGGCAATTAACATAATGTAATCATCGATGTTATTATCAATTTTATTAATATTGTTATCATCATGATTATTATTCAAGGTCGGTCTTGTGTTTCTGCGTTTGGCGTATATTTACAGGATTGGGTTTCTATATTACACTTACTCATTCACATGTACTTAGTTGACATATTGAATGGTTTCGTGACGTTACGTGCACCGTCCAAGCTCGCTCAACAAGGTAACCTCAAGCTATGGATGTGTGTTTCATGCGAGGCTGTCGTCGAACCACGTGGGAACCCCAGCTTCACAGTGGCCTCTCATACTTTTTTAGGGCAGAAGTATTTCGGACAGCACAATTCCTACTTCTGTTATTTGCTGGTGCTATCGGCAACACAAGTGGTGGCACTTTACTTTAACCTCGAGAGTGACTAACGTACTTGCGTGAATTAAGCGCTGGGCAAATGCGTTCAACAAGTATAACGACCGGCGAAGAGACATTTCGATGGTCGAAGTCCCGCGCCGACGTTTGTCCTAGCCATTGCACGACGTACTACAATCAGCCTCCTTTAGCATAATTTTCAAGCTGCTTGTTTTTTCCTATGGCAGGTCGTTCGGCTCCCGCACTCCTAGCGCCCCTGGTCGGCTATTGCCATCCTCTACGTAGCTAATATGGTCGACAGAGTGGCTACTCGACACTCGGCAACCTTTAATGGCTCAGCAATCGGTACTGAGATGGTTGGGCGTACCCTGTGGCGGAGTTTGGGGCTGTGGCGCGGGCGGCGACGTCTGACCAGTTGGCGACTGTTGCAGTTGCTGCATCTGGCACACGACACGTTGGCCGTCAAAGACAGCCATGACGAGCGGATTAGATGCAGACCCATCTCCGCTCAATTGGCTCGAGTGGTTGCTGTACACTCCCTGTTGTTGGTTTTGTTGTGCGCTATGGCTGGGATGCTGCTGCTGAAATGAACCGGCAGGAGAGCCCCACTGAATGAGCGGCCGCTGGTCAGAGTGGTGACTCACTTCGGAGGGCGAACGCAAATGCAACGCTTGCTGCTGCTGTTGCTGCTGAAGGTTGTAGTCGTGTTGCAATTGGCTGAGGTTAAGCTGGTGTTGGTTAAGCTGCTGGTGCAGTTGGGCGGCTTGGGCGGCGTGCATGGCATGCAGCATTTGTTGGCGGCCCATGGCATTTGGGTCTTGATCCTCATCTATCGACTCGTAGATGTGATCGATGCCTTCCAAATGCCCATAGGGCGGCGGCGGTGCCTGTCGAGATTTTCCCAGCTGCCCGCCAAGGGTGTTACACTTCTTGCGGCCAACAGCAATCGCGCCTAGCGTATTTGGGCCGGCGCTCGTAAGGTGCGGACTTATACCGTTTAGTTGTGCCAAACCCATTTGGCTACCGGCTATTATCTGCTGCTGATGCTGCTGTAACTGCTGCTGTTGATGCAGCAGTTGATTATTACGGGGTGTCGTGCGACTTGAATCTAGAATAACCTGGGATGGGATGACGTTTCGTCGGTCCAGCGTGGCGGCTCTTGGATATATTCCCGACGTGGTGCAGATCTCCTGGCCTTTCTGAAGGTTCCAAAATTGACTCGGAATCTGCAGAAATTCATTAGAGAAAATCGAGGATCATGCACAGATAGAAAAAGAACATAGCAGAAGATTAATAATTGCTAATTGTCACCAAAAGCTCTTACGATTCAGTCTTACTGTATAATCATCAATGTAAACTCTCAGTTAGCGGCTAATTAGTATTCAGTTTATTGAAGGACAAAGCGAAATGTTTGTACATCTAGAGAGACGAAATGTGCTATCTAAAGAAACTGAATTGTGATTGTTTGAGATACCGTAATTGAGATACCGAAGACATTCACAACCACTCTTAATAACTAGCCAGTAGAGAGTTTTCTGTGCTAGAATATAATAAAAATATACTAGTTATATACCTATGCTGTATATAAATTTGATACTTATATGGTGTATTTAATAAGACTAAATACTCACGGTGTGTGTTGCGGCTGTAGCTGCCTGTTGTTGTCCTAATAGTGTCTGGTGATTTGCCGTGGTGAGTGCCGTAAGCGTTGGGTGGCCATTAAGTTGTCCGCGTCCCGAGAGGTTGGCTGGCAGTCGCGCCCCATCGGCGCTATGCTCGTGCAGACCCATTTTCTCCCCTTTAAGACATTCTGGCAGCCAGGAGCAATTGACAACGCATTTTCGGTATTCGCTTTGCACTTTGTCGTTAGTAAAACAGTGAAACACGAAGATACAGAGGCCCTGGATGCTGTTCAACACAGTAAATACGTAAGCCAGGGCCACCGATTCCGAAGTAACGTAGACTAATCCGACGGCCCAAGTAAGTCCGAGCAGAAATACCAAAACGGTGGCACCCCGTATCCAGATCCTGAGGGGAACGCAAGCGGGGGTTAGAAAACTTATAGCACTTGAGCAATAACTTAACGAGGTGTACCATAAGAAACAGAGAGGGGCTGATGACAATAATCAGTAGAAACATAAAACAAGGGTCCTGGACCGAGGAACAGATCGAGTCCATTAAGCCAGGGTCGTCGTAGTAAAAGGATATAAGGAAGGAATATACCATTACGGTAATATAAGTTTTAAGAAAATCAAAGAAAATTACGAACGATAACAGACAGTTACAAAAATTGTAAGTACAGGAAAAAAACGTTAAGAGACAAAAAGGTTAAAAGAACAAATAAAAAAAAAACTATTCAAACCAATAGTGTACTGGGCAGTAGTGATTCCGGAACCAAGCGTTTTTGTGAACTTTGGCGGAGGGCGAGGTATTAGGGAGACAGATCATTGACACGGTGAGAAAACGAAGGAACGCATTAACCATCTCTATTTTGAAGCCATTAGAAATAAATGGGAGGTCTGACAGGACGCCATCTGCAGCAAGCCGCAGCGATAAGCGGACCGAGACAGCCAGCACCGTACCATCAGCCACTCAAGCTTGGTCTGACACGGCAGTTGCTGGCGTCCCCCGTTCACTGCCAGGTCTTTCGTCTAACCCCGGCACGACACAGCACCCGCAACTAAGCTTGAAGCTCTTGTTAGCTTAAAGCTGGCTGGCTGGCCGGCTAAGCCAGGGTCTGACGGCGTACGTCGACGTCTACGTCGACGAAGTAGTAAGTGGTCGATGATCTGACGAACGGGTCAGGCAATGGGATCGATCTCGTAGAACTCGCTTGACTGCACCTGCAGAGACGGAAACTCAGTTCGGCTAGGTTCTTGGCTAGGCCCGGCCTGGCCGGGGCCAATCGACCCAATGACGGGCAGCTAACAGCAAGGACCAGTGGCAGGAGTACCAGCAGCATCAACATAAGTGTAATTGAATAAATATGCTAATCCACAACGCAGAGACAGGGAAAAAGTTGAGGGAAAAACGAAACGTGAGTGGGGATCTGGATACCAAAGATGGAAGAGGATGAGTAACCGAGAAAAATGTACCCTGTTCTCTAACCGTCTTTGGTGCTGCTGTTGCTGTTCCTGCGACCCCAGGACTGGTAGCTGTGTCGGAACGACAAACAGACCCCTTTTGTGATCCCCGATCATATCAGAGAGCTTTAAAACGCAGCTGGAAGACAAGAAAGAGAGCAGAGGGAGAAAATGGAGCAAAGAATAGTGGCTAAGTGGGGAGTGCAGTTGCGCTTTTCTTTTGAATTTTTAAGAGACTTCAAAAGCAGAACCCTCAAATACAACGTTAGCTTGATTCGCAGTAAAGAATAAAAAAGACAAAAAAAAGACTTAACAAGTAAATAGGATAAATACAACAGAATGGGTCGATTTTCATACGGTGGGCGGGGGTGCATTAAGGAAAGAGAGGACATTTTTTTTTTTTTTTTTTTCTTGCTGTGGCCCAAATGTAGCTAAGGTGATGCTCTAGAAAGAATGTTGAATAACGAGAGATTAATGTGTGTAGGATTATTTAATGTAGTCAAACTTTTTCAACTACTTACATGCAGATGACACGAAGGCATTATTAAAGTGCTCGAAGGTCTAGAGTAAAATAAAACATTAAAATTTCTGAAAGTGAAGAGTATAACTTTCAAGCAAATAGGTGTCTGGTGAGCATGAGGCCATGCAGTTGGGTCACAGCTGGGTTCTAGTCTAAGGGTATGTATCAACAAGCATGTGCTAGTCACCCTTCCCCCCCCTCGTAAAGCACGAAAAGGGCTTACTATAAAGATACCACAACAGAGTGGAGAACAGTGAAAGGAGCGCAGGCTATTTTGCTCAGCAATGATCCTGCTGAGACGATCAATCCGATAATCATTTGGCATGATGATTCGCAGGCATTCTAATGAATACACTCGACAGCCGCGAGTGCTTCATTCATCACATTCAGCGAGCGAGCTAAAGCTAGGGTAAAGATAGGCAGATGCAATACGTCGCATCGCGTCCATAATCGTGTAACGAGCAGCAAAGAGAGAAATTGAAGTAGAGACTTGTCCTTACGCCAGATGAAGGCTTCGTATGGTGTCGTCCGTACTGTTTTGACGGAGCCGACCACCCACAAACACAGACACAGTCGTACCGCGCAGATTACGATATAGATGGACAGAAAGATGGAGCAAGACAGTCGGTCGTAGATACGGGGAGTGTGTCAGTGTCAATCAATCAGTGAGTGACAGATTAGAGCGAGGGGAAGCAGAGAACGCAGCGCGCATGGATCGCGCACGACATAACCATCGCAGAATCGCGCGAATTGTAGAAGAAGGATGTTGAATTGGTTTATTCGTTCGTCGATCAAGCAACGGTCGAAATGATATGAATTTCAATTAGTATACAAAGACCGACAAATGATGATGAACGGACCGATCGATTGATGTGGTTCAGGGAAGTCGGAGTTACAGAGCACAGTTATAATAAAATAGTAGAAGTATTATGGCACAAGAGTGCACCGAGGCGATATAGACAAATGGCCGATCAGAATAGAGAAATAACGCGAAAAAAAAGGGTTGTCAGATTTGCATTCGATCCGAGTATTGCATGCAGTCAGTGGCAGCAGAACAGACGACGTTCAGACGTTGCAGACGCCAAATGTTTGTTTGTTTTATTTTATTTAGAAATAAAGAAAACCGACGACCAATGGGCGGTCGGTTCGTCGGTCGGTCGGTCGGTCGGTCAGTCAGTCAGTCAAAGAGAAGATGTTCAGCGAGAGAATGAGAGAGAGAGAGACAGACAGACAGAGATAGACAGAGAGAGAGAGAGAGAGAGAGAGAGAGAGAGCGAAGATCACGGTTTTGTCAGAAGCCCATGATCAAAGTGTGGGAAGACAGAAACAGATGAAAATAGAAAGATGGATTGAAGTAAGTTGATAGATAGAGAGAGACAGAGAGATAGAGAGAGAGAGAGATAGAGAGAGAGAGATAGATAGATAGATAGATAGATAGATAGATAGATAGATAGATAGATAGATAGATAGATAGATAGATAGATAGATAGATAGATAGATAGATAGATAGATAGATAGATAGATAGATAGATAGATAGATAGATAGATAGATAGATAGATAGATAGATAGATAGATAGATAGATAGATAGATAGATAGATAGATAGATAGATAGATAGATAGATAGATTAGATAGATAGATTAGATAGATAGATAGATAGATAGATAGATAGATAGTAGATAGATAGATAGATAGATAGATAGATAGATAGATAGATAGATAGATAGATAGATAGATAGATAGATAGATAGATAGATAGATAGATAGATAGATAGATAGATAGATAGATAGATAGAGAGAGAGAGAGAGAGAGAGAGAGAGAGAGAGAGAGAGAGAGAGAGAGAGAGAGAGAGAGAGAGAGAGAGATAGATGATCGCGCACAGTCAGTCCATGGACAGGAGTAGCAGAGAAGTGACACACAGCGGCGTTCGTTCCGGAAGAGAAGAAGGTGGTAGGCGACACAGAGACAAAGAGTAGTAGTCCCAAGTTAGTAGACATCGTGATGATGATGATTAGAGAAAAGATTTAAATTTACTGTCGTGCAGCAGTTGGTGGACAAACGCTGCGTGTCTAGAGTCAAAGTCAGAAAAAGAGAAATATAGAAAGATACGGCTGGCTGCTTTCGTATTTACGGATCCTAATACTAGTTGTAACTGTGGCAGATCGGAACATGAGGCTGGTCAGGTCAGTCAGGTCGACAAATATTCTGACTGGCACCAACATCACTTAAGATCCTTTACGACAGTCATGGCCAGAGTTCGGTGCAGATTAGGGAACAACCAATCAACCACGGCACCTCAATAGCCAGCCTGACAAATACAAATATCAGATAGAAGCAAAGACAGAAGGGACGGACGGCAGAGAAAGTTTTGGGGACTGATTATAACGACAATAGTTATAGTTGCACCGATGTATCGAAGGAAAAGAACAAAGGTATAGATACGAGAGAAAGGAGCAGCAGCAGCAGCGGCAAATAGAAAGAAATCGAGAAGATTGGAGAGAGAGACAGAGAGAGATAGAGATAGAGGGAGAGAAAGAGAGAGAGAGAGGGAGAAAGAGAGAGAGAAAGAGAGAGAGAGAGGATGTAATGCGCAATACATCATGTGCTACTTCATTAATACTGCACAGGCTAGTCATTGACTAAGAGGTTACACTCTACGTAAGTTAAAAGAACACATTCTACAGTACAGGCCAAACAGTATACTAGACCTACCTGAGGTTGGATAATTTCGAAGTTTCCTTTGTTTTGACGGAGTTGGCCAAGCTGGCGTGTCGGCACATTGTGAAGATGGCCACACCCAAGAAGACCAGGTTGGCAAACAAGATCGCCACGACCGGGCCGACGAAGCTGAGGACGAAATAGTTATCGGCGCGCAGCCAGCAATGCTGCGACGTACCATAGCTAAACGGATCGACAGCGACAGATACACCGACGATGACCGCCGGTACTCCGTACGCTAGCGGATAATACCAGTATAAACGGGACTTCTCTAAATCGAACACTTCGATCAGCATCACGTACAACTGAAAGCCCTCCAGGAACATCCACATGAACGCTGCTAGAAACGTGTAGTGCAGTACACCAGCAATTACGCCACAAGTCATACGGTCGCTTGTCCAGTGGATTCCGAGGACGAAAACGATCTCTGCCAGTAGTAAGCACAGGCAGAGGTTCTTGTGAATCGCAGCACGATCGCCCTTCAGGCCGCGGCAGAGCTGCAACGCTAACAGCGTAAGTGACAGGCAGACAATCGAAACACAACAGCCAATATAGGTAATCACCTGCAGTGCGGATTCGCCGCCATACGACGCAGGTCTCGGACGCACGTCCATGAGGAGGGCAAAGTTAGTGAGGTGATTGCAAGCGCAAATCGTATGAGTTGCGTTTGAGTCCTCGATCCAGCAGCCCTCAGCGGACCAGTCTCGCTTGTTGAAGTCCCAGAAGATACACTGAGGCTCAGTGGTGTTTTCAGCGACTTCATGCTGCAAGACGATGCGCACCGGGTGGGCAAACCCAGCCAGGCGCGGTCTATCCAGAGTTGCCGATAGCACTCGGGAGTTGACCACGCGTGACACGTTCGACGGATCATACTCGCCATAGAGGCCGGTGTATGGCGGGAAATTAGTTCCAAGAATGGCATTTATGCGCTTGTATAAGAAAAAGGCCACTTTCACGAGGCCACCACGTGAATGCTCTAGCAGTGTTGACTGCGGTAATGTCAACGAATCCTTTGCTTCGATCCATTCCGTAGATGCTATATCACGAGGTTCGGGGAATCGAAGATCACCCTCCAGCTCATGTTGAGCTACGACTTTAACAGCTGCAACTGTAATTATGATAGGAGCGATGTGAGAATAAGAAAACGTTGGCTTAACTCAGAGTTGTGATTAATTGTCGTAATAACAGTTATACTATTGCTATACATGTTCGTTTCGTGCATAGACATTTTCGAAATGTAGCTAGGCTCCTATTTATCCGATGTAAACCGTAAAGTAAGATTCTGTGTTAGATGCATTTCCACGTCAAGCATTTTATACCGGTATACGAAACGGTTCTTTATCGGTCTTGTAATAATAGATGAAGTAACAAATTTGTTGATCTGGTTTTATTGATCGGATAGCGTGGTGATACTCATAGATCCGACATAATCTGGCAATGTTTACCACCGCCGGTAGCACTCTATTACCATCGCCTACACGTGCTTTGTGCTTACTTACCAATATTGTTCTGAACGCGACTATAGTTGAGTGGCGAGTACTGATTTTTGAGCATGAGAACTGCGTTTTTCTCTAGTGCTTCAAGGAGCGTTGAGGCAGCTGCCCGCTGTTCGCCAGAAGGAAGGTCATTCCATGCGGCTGCCTGCTGCTCATCCAAAATGTTGGAAGCGAAGTCGATGACGGCCTGCAACAGGAAAGAAAAACCATTTGAGATATGGACGAGGAACTGTGAGCTGACTAACGAAAAATAAGCATCCGCACGGTATACAGCGGGCGAGAAACAGCGAACGTTTTTGGGGGGTTGGCCTCGCGTGAGTCTGGACTGCTCTGTCTAGTCAACAGTCTCACATTGGCTGGCGTTGCCGGGCGAAATGTTATGACGGCAATCTGCGCGTAATCGCAGCACTAGGCTTAGGTGCACTGGTCGAGGGCAGCAGGAACACGAGCTGCCCAGTTGGTAGCCGTTCAAAAAAGAGAAAGAAGAGGCGGCTTGAAGGGCGGAGTAAATCTAAGGTGGCGCTGTAGAAAAAATGGAGCAACAAAAACGCGAGCAGCAGAAAATGGCTCCTCGAGGCAACCGGGTATTCAAAGAAATGCCCTAACCCAGTTTTGCAGGTCAGAGGGCTAGGTTGCCCGCAGCAGAAATGACTTAGGGCAGAAAGCACCTATGGCTACTGGCCGGAGAGTAATGAAACTTCTTCCACGAATGGAGATGGTATAAAGAGATCCACGGTGCTTACGATGGCTGCCAAATCAAACTGCTCAGAAACCTGCGCACAGTTTTGCTGCCGATCACCTTGTCGTTGGATACTCAAGTTTGCCACATCCTGAATACTTATGACGTCGTTGGCAACGTCCCACCCACAAAACGACCTTATTCGCTTCGCTTAGTCTACATAACATTACACTAGAAGCGATTGTAGGTAGTGTTCAACAATTGAGGAAATGCCGACGTGTGCGCATGCAGGTACTGCGGTACATTGTCGTCGTACCACTGACAATTGGTGTGTGCGTGCAATAATAAGTGGTAAAACGAGCGACGGGAGCATGGACCAGTAATAAGCACTTACATTCATAAGCTCCTGAACAACCTCCTGGCGCTGATGTGAATCCGTAGATTCAGTCAGGCGATCTTCAACGCGTGCTACAAGCTGCTGGATCAAACTTGTCGTATGCAGTAGATCTCCGCCAAATAGCGGCTTTAGATGAGACTTCTCTGCTAGCTCATTTGCGAGGTTGACCACGGACACAGAACCATCATGAATTTTCACTTCTATATGGCGAACCCAAGCTGAGTTGCAGCTGCTTAAGTCGGGAAATTCAGACAGCCACATAGGTGGATTGGAGCCGCATTGCCAGCTTGCCTGACCAACGCTACCCATCGGGCAGGGATGACTGGCCATTTCGCCTTCGCGAGTCCAATTCCAAGCCATATCTCGTACAACACGCGGCGGACAGTGTGTCTCTCGGCCGACGGGCGTCTCTGCTGCGTCTGGAGTTACTCCAGCTCCTTCTCGTGTGAAAACATCGATTGTCGTAGGGTCCTGTGTCGTTGTGGTGGTCGTCGTGCTCGTCGCCTCGTAGAGCGGATTCGGCACTTTAATCTCCGAGCGACCGCCGAGCGGCGGTGAAAACGTAGCGATGCGCGGCGGCTCCCGTGACGCGATAGGCGGAGGTTGCGGTGTTTGCGGCGACGGCTCTGGTTCATCGTACTTTTCGTCGTACTCCGAGCTCGGCACCTCCGTTAGCGGCGCTAACGATGAAGGCCGAATTATTGGCGGGGGCGTAGTCGACGGCGTGGGCGGTGGTGGAGGTGACGGGAACACCGGCAAATGCGCCGGTTTTCCTCCGGTGATCGACGGGGGGAAGATGATCAATGGCGGTTTATATGTCGTCGTGGTTGAAAGTTCTGGAACGCACTGGTAGTGCGCTTCCAGATACTTCTTTGTCCCCGGGCACGGATCATCGTCGAAGAACTCCGTTGCCGCAGACAGAGTGCACGACTTTTTCTTTTCGCATGACATCTGCACGACCCGAAACGAGCGTCGTGACATACAGTTTACGCTCCAATCGAGGCTGCCTTGGGGATTACAAAGCGAAATAGAGAAACGGCCATAATTTGCTCGGATCAATCGTATGATGTGACTGTCTTCGCAGGTGATGTTCATAACGCCACCCTCGCATGCGTACGTCGTCAGGTATGTCGTCTTGTCTGAAAAGTAACGTAAGATAGTTTCATTAGATAAGTGTTCCAGATATTGCCTATGCTATGCCGTTTTGTCATATAATTATATAGATAACCGAATTTGATTGATCAGAAAAGACTATCCATATGATTCTATCAATAAATGCAATGGTATCGATAAATCGCCTAGTATAGTTAAGTTCTAGTCAACGTTCGAGACGTCAACAGGAGCCACATCCAAGCTTTGAATTGAAGGCTTTAGCCGAGAAGAAAGGGACGATTCATGCTAGGGCAGTGAACCGGCACGTGGAGACACTGGACTAGTTTTCCTTCGGTTCTTCTCTTTATCTAATGGTCTGTCTACCAAATGAAGAGATCTTTCTCATTTTGAGCACATAGGGGTAACCTTTTCCACTTTTTAGTCAGTTGTGACGCGGTGAGAACATGTTGGCTGGCTGACGAGGCATATCTTTCTCATAGTACCCTGTGCGGTCAGGCAGTGAATTTTCGCTAGATTCACTTGCTTGCTAGGCTTTTGCCAGGCTCTAGCGAATCTGCCCTTTACTCAGTCAGTTCCTCACACAACAGCCAGCCTCCTTCTTCGCCTATGACTCCGCTTCAAACGAAGAGGATTTGCTGATGAGGTGCTTAGGACGCCTGGAAGGTCCATCGGCTAGCGGCGGACTGAGTGCGGTAAAACGACAAAAAAGAGACCCTCCTCAGAGAGCCGGCAAGCGGGAAAGAACGGGCAAAATCGAGCGAGCAGTAGAAACGGCGGTTTTGTGCTGACAGTACGACTAGTCTAGTGCAGGAAAAAGACGAACGCGAACTGATCTGCACTCGGCAGACCAGAATAAGCAGACTCTTGTATAAAGAGAGGAGCACGTTAATTCCAAATGAGCAATCGTACTCCTCGCTGTTAGCCGACCATCGAACACACTTCTGCCATTGCTGTGAGTCGGCTTGCTGCAGTGAGATTTCGTAGTCTACCCGCAGCAAGGCCTCAGCCTCAAACTCTTTTCACCTATGGGTCAAATGCATCTCATTCTTTGAGGACTTCCTTCTTGATTTCCAGCTTACCCATTCAGATCTTCGAGCAAAATGAGCTTTGAGCAATTACCGAAGTGCGAAATAGCTCGATGAAGAAGAAGAAGACAAATGGAGAGGGGAGAGAAAACTAGAAATAGGGTAAAAGCTCGCACGAGACTCTAGCTGAATTCTCAAGCGGTAGGATTGTCCACTACCGTATACACAGATTGCTGCACCACCAGTTAATCAGGATACTAGTCGCGCACTAACTTAAAATTAACTATGTGCTACTTTACTATAATATAACACGATATGACAGTAGTTCGAAACCAGAGCGACCACCGATCTTTTCTTGACTACTTGAAGGACAACAGCCGCCCTTATTTAATAAATTAAAGCCAAATCCCATTTCCTCACAAATATATGTCCTTTTATTTGACCGAAGCTTTTATTAGAGCTCTTGCAACAATAAGCCCGTAGTTTGAATTTTTCGGCGTACGACCTTTTCCTAAAATCTAGCGAAAACTCAAATGTGAAGCTACACCTATGTTGTGTACATGAGTATCTTGTCGCTTCGGATCGATCCATTCCGAAAGGGTGTTCCCACTATGGTATCGAGTGCAATTTTTGCGCCATCGTCGCGTCCCCTTTCCATCCAACACTGTGATTAACGGATTACGACAAATAAAGTCTACTTTTTTGGTAGGGGGTTGGTCTATGATGTTAGGAAGAGGAGATCTATTGGACTTGGTATAGAGCAAACTTCATGCACTTACCTGTAGGAACGGGACGCCTAGGAAGTGTACAAGTAGAAATTACATTATTACTACTCGAATCAGCTGGAAATAGATACGTGGTCTCCATTAATTACAGGTAAAGACTGATCGATTTGTTTGACTATTGTGTCAAGCAAACCGGTCAACTTAGAAATACTGCACGATTTACAGCCGGTAAACCTCACACCATACGTCGACTTGTCATATAGCAGCGTCTTCCATTGTTAGAGTTTACTTGTTCAAGAGGAAGCAGCTGTTGGCGTGGTGCGAACGAGTGTGTCAGACTGAGTCAACTTTCACCCAAGCACGTTGCGTCTAGCCGGCTTGTTGACACGCCGTGTATCATATTTAATAAGCCATCCGCTTCTAAATACTGTCCTGCTCTATAGTGATAAGGGATGAGCAGCAAAACTCATAGTAGTAACGAGAATCGATCAAATTAAGTATATCCTCAATGAACAGACTTGACCATCGATTATTCAAATATACCATAGCAGTGAAAGTGGGACGGGATGAGGTCGCGACGATCCTTTCCCTAGCATATGCTAAGGCTGTCCAAGGCGAAATGGCCCTTACTTGGTTGGCGGAATGCGTTCTTTGAACCTAACAAACTCCCGGAATGCTCGCGGGAAGAAGTCAGGTGACCTATTAGCTTTGCTAACTGGGTTACATGGCGTTCAGGAGGAAGATATTTCGAGACCTCTCGAAGGGAGAAAGACCAATCCTTAATCGCCATGCACGTCGTCCAGCAGCAACCGAACGAAGAAAAATTACCGTTTCATGTAAATTTACTGAAGACGATGCTCCTGCTGCCGCTGCTGCGTGGACGGTAGTGATACGCACAGTTCTTCACGCAGGTAATGCCGAGTACGAGGTCGTCGACTAGAACCTGGTAAACGAATGCGCACTTTTCTTCACAAAGGTTTACCCGTCAGAATATTTATTGCGAGGATTGCAGTTTGACTAGAGGGCTATTGGCGCTGGTATCGAGAGCGAAAGCGGAGGTTGCGGAACGATGAGGCCTACTGACCCGTTGTCCCCCTGGCTTTGAGGTTTTCCACATTCTACCTAAGCGATGTCTAGCCACTTGTAATCCATTCTATCGCATTCTACATCAGTGCCGCTGCTTATAGCATTACCTTAAAAGTGCTATGGTTAGGACGGACTTAGATATGACGATGGTGGCTACGGAGTCAGGAAAGGTAGCGAGCGAAAGCGAAAACCGACGCCAAGAGCGGGAGGAGGCTCACGGAAGGAATAAGGAAAGCGGAGAAGAATAAGCCAGGGAAAAACAAGTAGGTTCTTGAGCGAGCAACTTGTTGCCCTACGAATAGCCACAAGCTTTCACGCAGTTGCCTGATCTGGCTATCTGAAGGCTGGCCTGTAGCTGCTGTCCGCGCCAGCCGCGTCATCCGTCTCCATCGTCATTACTTGCGCAGCGGAAAAAGTAACCGAAGCGAGCTATAACGTCACAGAGCTTTGTTGCTTTTGCTATTACGAACGTAGTAGAATTACTCACTGCTAGGCGCTGCACTCGAAGCAGGAATGCTAGTTTGCCTGCGATCGACCACTCACACGAATGTTGCGTTTGCTGAAAACGGAAGCTGCATTCTACGTCAGCGTGAACAGCAGCCGTAGAGGACAAGTGCAGCTACGCTGTGACGCATAGGGTAGCAAGCGAGACATGGGATAAAATAGTAAGTATCGTCCCCTCTGCTACTAGAGGAAAACTTGAGTGGCCTCCGCTCTGGCTCTGTCCCTAGCTATACACTACGGAACCCATTGCATTGCTTTAGCTTTTTTCGCTTTACGTACCATCTCGCTCGCTTCTGCCGCCTCTTTAACTCTTTCCGCTAGTGGAAGTTACGTGAGGATGTCCCGAATTTTAGTTCTTGTGGCCTTTCGGCTTGCGGTACACGTTGTGCTATAATGTGGTGCGTGGGTATGACGTTTAAAAATAAATTAAATTCCAAAAACCCATTCACGTATTCGGCGCACGTTGACACGGTGACAGGAACCTTTCGAGCTGTCCGTGTTGGTGGCATAGCGATGGCAGGAGTTAGACAGGTGCCGAGAGGAAAGCGTCCAACTGTATTGGCAGTATTGCGGGCGGCGAGCTACTGCTACGCCAATGAAAGCGGTGGGTCTTGCTAAAGCCGCCAACGGCACCGTGGCCTTCGCACGTGCCACGCTACTATCACCGCGAACGGTGAAGTTAACATCATTTTGAGTTATGTGACTCACTCACTACGATGACTTCTACTTAGGCGAACGACGTTAGCTCGCGCGAATCGAGCGCTGTGGGTAGCTGGTGACAGCTGCTCCTGGGGCCGCCAATGGCAATGAGTATCAATGCGGTGCCAGCGATGCAATGGTCGGCGAGGCATCTGCGGAATTTGAAGGCGATAAAACTCATGAGAGAATGAGTTAGAGCGAGAAAATTAGAGAAAGAGCGATGTGTACTTAACGGTGAAGGACGCAGAATTAACTTACTTTGCCATGAATCAATAAGTTTTCAAAATACTAACTGTTTTCATTTACACTAATTGTGTGGATTATAAGTGTTTATGTTTTTGTCTTGTATAAACATTTTTAATTATGTAGATATTTTTATATACAGCATTTCGAACGTAGATAAACAGTATCTGTACTTGCTTGGGAAAATAGCACTGACTTCCGAAATAAATGAAGATAGCTTTACTACAGGAAACACACAATACGCCATAAGGAAAATAGAATGAAATAATTTAACCATTTGCAGCAACGCCAAACTATACGCCTTTACCGAGTAACACATACCGATTTAGACTTGTAAAGATCTAGTTGTTGCCTTCTAACTCGTCTTCTAGCTCTGACGAGATATTAAATTGATGAATACACACACCGGTGCCATCTGAACAAGTCTATCTTGCTGTCTGATCAGCCGGCTGACGAGTTAACGGAATCCTGTTATTGGCTTCTATCGATGAAGATCGGCTACTGCTCCTTCCCTTCGTGTTGACGTCAAGTGGGACATTTTTTAAAGCTGCCCATTAGGCAATCACATGGCGAAGTGGGTACCTCATTAAGCCTTCAAACAAACACAGCAGGAATTTCCCTTTGACCCAATGATGCAACCTGTCTGTTGGGGGCCTCATTCTCTGTTTACTAGCACAACGACTGTTAGCAATCCGTAGGTGCCTACGTGGCTATTGCAGCGTGTGCAGCAACGAGGTTATATCA